GCGGAAATAAAATTTCGTTTGCGCCGTAGGTGTCCTGTCCTCAATGACAGGTGACCTGGCTTGAGTGGCTCACGCCAGGTCTTACAGAGAAACCCGTCGGAGCCAAACCTCTAAATCCTCTCATTTGTGTATGATGTACACACCAAATGGGTCTTTCTCCTTCATAAAGAACTGACTGTTCTACGGAAAACCAACTAAACCTTAAACCCTAAAACCCCTACAAACCCTTAAACCTCTCATTTGTGTATGATGTACACACCGAGAGGATCTTTCTCTTTCATAAAGAACCGGCTGTTCCACGGGAAACCAGAGAAGATCCGCGTCTCAAAACTCCGATGCAAGACGAAGTTATACACCGGCATGTTACAGTTGAACTTGATGGGACAAAGGGATAGATAATACGTCATCTCACCCAAAAACTCGATCATGGTATCAGTGTACCCACCCACCACGCCGGCGTTGTATACCTGACATGCACAGTGATAAAGTCAGTAGCAAGTTGAGAATCAGTGTCAGGAGTAATGTGAATGATCTAGCTGCTCCGAAGGAATTAATTTCTAGAACTGATATCTGCACTTGGAAAGACAAATGGTCTCACTGTAGAAATTCATGCAGAATACGTTCAAAATTTCTACCTTTATGCCTGATTGGCAAGCCTGTGTGCTACACTATACCAGAAGTTCTAGCCGTCATGCTCGTTTGAGATGGTGGGTATGCCCAGCTACTATACGCAAATATCATACTTAGCTGTATGGCTCTATTCCTCTGCTTTGCGTTGACGTACAAGTTTAGAAACAGCGTAGAAGCGACCTAAACGGTGCATATGTTTTGTATTGTTTAACACTCAAACTGAGCTGGCTACCATGACATTGCTGCATTTGCACATAAAAGTACCGAACTCTGAGAGGGGCCCAACAACACAACAGAACATCTCAGACAGCGCAGTTCAAACGAAGGGGGCAAGAATAAATGTGCATATGTCAACGCACATTTATCGGTCTCTGGGCTTAAGTGCACAGGTAAATTCGCACGCAAACTGCAGTAAATTTGTACATCAACACCCGGAATACAGAAAATGGTCTATACATGAACACATATGCACATACACATGCACACCACATACCTTAACCTCTTATCATTTTTGCCTTCTTTTTTGTCAAGGCTCTTGAACAGCACACAACCACATGCACGTATATAGACATACAGTGAAATTCACACACACCTGTGATTTCTTCTTGATCAGCCGGTGCTCTTCTTTGTCAAAACCCTTGACAAAGCACACACGTTCGCGCGGGGTAAGCCAACCATTGTCTTCCATTTTGTTGCCATAGTCGCGTCCGGCGTAGATGTAGTCGCCCGTCAGCATCATGAACTCAAACGGATCGTTCTGGATAACCACATCACTGTGTACAGAGTGTATTTCGCGCACAGACAAGTTTAGTAACCACACAAGCTTCCTTTGGATTGCTTTGAAGCCAAGGAGCATGCTATAACAGCGTACGCCAACGTTAAGAACGAAATTTGCGCGCTGCAGTGCATACAGTACCTGATGTCAGTCATAACCACCGCAGTGATCTCCGGGTGCTCGCTGAGGTACTTGTAGTAGAAGAAGAACCTCTCGTCATTCGTCGATCTCTCTCCCAAAGCCACGTGATGAAAAGTGATCTTCATAGTGCTATACTTCCGCAGAAACTCACTGCTCAATCCGTCATGGAAGATCACCGCGTACAGGTCCTTCTCCACTACACTGAGATACCACTTCTCAATGTACTTGAAGTTATCGTCGGCCAAAAACTGCCCTCGTTGCGGGTCGACTTTCTTGTTGAAGTAGCACGAGAAAACAACGGCCCTTCCTGCACCCCCGCCTCTGTTAAACCACTGTATAGCGAGAGTGAACGCGACTAAATTGAGCGTTTGGAGCAGGTTTGCATACTCAGATACTCATGTAGGCCATGTATGCCTCCAGACGGACGATAGACACACGATGCCAGTGGCACTTAACGACAAAGAAAAACTAGAGAATGTGTGTATACTCATGCATCTCATAACGAGTCCACCTACTTCCACGATCAAAACCGACTGCACAATTGTTCTTGAGTGAATAGTAAGTTGACATGCAGGTCAAAAGAAGAAACATCATGGTGCGGCGAAATTCGACTACGAGTATACGACAGTATACATTTACTTATACCTCGTTATTTACAGAAGTAGTGTATAAAATATTGAAACCGTACTATCTTTCTAAACAAAACAGACAAATGAGTTATTGAATTATTCATTATCCATTACTGCATCCGCACGCATTGATAGACACAATGAACCAGAATATCGTTTCTAAACTGATAATTTCAGCGATTGAAACTAATCTGTTCAAAACAAATATAACACATACATAGATATATATATATATATGTGTGTGTGTGTATGTGTGTGTGTGTGTATGTGTGTGTGTGTGTGTGTGTGTGTGTGTGTGTGTGTGTGTGTGTGTG